AAAATCCCTTTGTTTTTCATTCCTGTCACTGCCAAATCTCTTGTTTCGTCATAACGGCTATAGGGTATAGGCAATAATAGTCTATGCGTATAGCTGATACAGCCTCTGATCTTACTGCCATCCATACAGTCTTCCCTGACTCAATTATATTTATTTAATACTAATACGACAGAATTACTAATTAAAAACCAATTAATAATGCATTACAACTTACATGCCATTCAGATCATAAGTTTGTTTATTTCACTGTTTTAAAGGTTTTGGGTTTGATATGAGTAATGTTGGTTCGATTAATAATATATTTTCGGAATATGTTTAATGTTGTTACAAAGAGAGAAGGAGAGTTGAAAGGAAAAAGAAGCTTTCTCTCAAGAAAAGAAAAAAGAATACAACTGTCCATGCAACGGCGAAACCTGTTAATATCTACATCGATATGTAGTTGTAAACAAAACCTTCACTAGGTTAATTTGCAATGAGATATCCCATTGATATAAAATCTTGAAGCATTTCAACAAGAGTAGACAGCAAGGGGTGGGGTGGGCAATCTAACTAAAATTGACTATACAACATGCCATACTTTCTTTTCAACCCAGACTTTCAGTGCGCTTTCTGACACCAAGCACGGGGTTAACATGTGCCCATGTCCATATGCCCTTGTTTTTCTTTTTCATTAACTATTTTTTTCATATTTTTCTAAAAAAAAACTGTTTTTAAAGAGAATTTTTTTAATAATGCCTTTGGTTAACAAGATTTCACATTAATAAAGTTATAAGCCCATCATCAGCTATGAAGTTGGCTAAATCAAACCATAAGATTTAATAACGTTATATCTTGAAATATATTGTTGACGTGTTATTTTTGTGCATGGGACATGACCGCTGTAAAAAAAATTTAAACTCTTAACTCTTTTCTTCTCTCTTTTATCCTCCTATATTAATTTTCTGCATAATCAATAATATTTGATGATTCAAGTTTGTTGATGGTGTTTTTTGGTGTTAGTTAGAAAGAAAGTAGCTCGGTGGATTGTGTGAAGGACAGCTAAGATTTACAGCAAAAAAGCACGGTAAAAAGATACCAAAGTTGGTTTTTTGTAACGCACTTTGACGTTTAAGTTAATTAAATGTACGAGATTTTTGTGAGGAGGATGGTATACCGCAAATACTTAGGAAGCTCAAAGGGAAAGGATTGTTAGCTTCTATTGTTCTTAGGTCTTCATTTGTCTTACATATGAGAAGAAAAGAGTAGTAACATAATCAAAACAAGTAATTGTTAAATGGTGAGTGTATATGAGGCTTGAGGAAGGGTCACGTGATAATTATGAATTATATTTAATAATTTCAAATAAATTGAAGATTAATTTATCTATTTTAAAATGATATTTTAATATGATGTTAGTGGAGTATTTAACAAATATCCCTTTAATGAGGAAAAGCCCGTATTATAATGAGTAGTCTAAATATAAACTCATATTTGTGATAATTTAATAATCGGACATGTATTGACTTAGTGATTATGAGGATTAAATTAATCTTGTTGATTAAATGAATAGGTGCAACAAACTTCAATATCTTTCAATTTTCTCTCTTTATTTTTCTTTGTCAAGTTACAATTAATTTCTAAAAAAAAAAATGATAATACCCAAATATCAAATATTAAATTCAAATAAAAAACCCATAATTTGTGAAAGAAAAAAAAAAACCAATTTTTTCACAGTTATGTCGATCGCATTGCAAATGATTGAAAGCGTTAACGTTTGGGCGCAACCGCAGCGTGACGTGTCTGGAAGCGGAGTAGAGATGATGGACTCATTATAACAGCCTTTACCTATGAGTTTTTAATGTCTACGATCAATTTCTTGGTTTGGTGATTAAAAAGCTTTAAAAAATATATATATGAACGTAGATTTTAATCTCGTTATTCCTTTTTTTGTTTTTATCAATTATTATATTTATATAAAATTATTATTATGAATAATAAATTAAAATTTTTAAAAATACCTTAAAAATATTCGTTAACAAAACCCAAAACTAAAAGCTTTGGTGCAAAAATAATTATCTATTTTCTTACAAAAATAAATGAATATCAAACATGAATAATAAAATGTTGTATATTTAAAAAAAAGAAAAATTTAGGGTGGATAGTTTGTTCAATCCTTTAAATTTGGTTAAGATGTGTCATATTTGACAGCTTAAAACAGATGACTTGTAGATTGTACATTTGAGATGATCCTAACAAATGATCACTGATAAAATTCGAACTCAAAGCTTTCTTCATAAAAAAAAAACCTTAATCAATTGCACCAATTATTTGTTAGTAAATGTTTTATATTAAATTCAAGATTTAATTTAGTTCATTCTTTTAAAAAATATCCTATGAAATTTAAGTTTTAATATTTTTATTTCAATTTATTTTTAATAAAAATATTAAAATATTTGGCTGCCAAAAATAAAGCCTTAATCAGCGGACAATTGCTATTTAAAAAAAAAAACTTGAAAAAGGAGATAATTAATGCTGCTCGAATCTTGCAGTCCTCATACAACATGTGATACTATCATTTTTTTCTTTCCGTCCAAAATATTCAAAGTTTGAATTTATTTGCTTTGAATAGAGACGAAAAAAAATCGTTGAAAGTCACTTTTCTCGAATACCGTATTTCTTTTCTTATAATGTTTTATGTTCCTCGAGAATCTTGTCTTTTGACAATAAAATTAAGATTAAAAGCATATTTAATTGATTTTTTAATACGTTATGGCCTGCAATCTTTATTTTTTAGCTTTTGTTTGAAGCGCACACAACCCACCATTGCCTTTTATTCTTGCAATTGCACGCTTCTCACGCGCTGCAGAAAACGCGGGGCCTAAGTCATTTTTGTAATTCGCGTGACCCAACAATAAATAATTAATTTAATTAATTAAAATTTACTTTTTTATAAAAAATTTTAAATTTAAGTTCTTTCGATGATTATTTATTAAAATTATCTTAAATATATAACATATAATCACTCATCTTAAGTTATAAAATATAATATATTTTGTTATGACCTGAAAAATTATATAATTTATTTACTTCAAATTTTTTCTTATAAAAAAAATTCACATGACCCAAAAATAATTAAATGAAGAAGTATAAAAGTTACTAATACATATAAAAAATATTTTTAAAAAAATCAATGTGGCCTTTTTATCCTCAAAATTCAATGAATTGCTACTTTACTTTTTTGAATTTAAAAATTGAAATGAAATTTGAGATGATATCCAAATAAATTTACAAATTTCACTAAAAAAATTAAGAGTAAACCTTTGATTTTTTATTGCATGCAGGAATTTTTATTTTTTTATAAAGAAAACTTTTACATCACAAAATGTTTCATATTCTGTTAAAACATTCTTTGTTGATTTGACATAGTTTTATAAAAAAAATTATTTTATTTTATTTAGATGATCTGACTAATAAATATTTGATAATGTTACTTTTTTTATCGTTAAACTTTATTCACTAATTTTTTGTAATAAATCTCTCAATGAAATAAAATTATCCTTAACAAAATGGTTTGATTCAATTGTTTATTTTATTTTATTTCACAAACATAGTTTGGTCGGTACATCTACCATAGCATCAAAGTAAGGAGAGTTGATTTTTTATTTGTCTTGAATCCAACTTGACTCTTTAATACATCCACTTGAACTTGTCTTGGAATTAAGTTATTATTTCATTACTTGTATTGATTTAAAATTTATATTTATAATTTACATCCAACTTAAATTTATTTTCATGTACATTACATATCAAATACATTATATATTAAGTTAATCTTTTAATTAATACATTAAATAATAAATTTATTAATTTAATGCACATATTTTTAAATATAAAATTAAAAATTAAAAATATATTATTTTTATATTTATCATAATTGTTAATTTCAATTTGGTACCGATCGTATCGATTGATACACTCAAATTATATTAAAATATGATACACCTCAAGATGATTTTTTATACCGAATTTAGTATTGAGTAATACCGATTATTTTCGTTATTTTCGGTTGGTTTCGATGAATTTAAATGTATTTGCATGTTTCAATCCCTACATAAATGTGAAATATATTTTGTAATTTTTAATTTGTATTTTGTTGTTTAACTATTTTTAATCTAATAAAAATAAAATTAATTGATAAAATAATCATTAAAAATTAAGTTTCTTTATTTTTTTATGACTTGTTTTCTTTTATATTTTATTTTTCAAGTCAAATTTCATAAATATTTTAATCTCTTTTAAAAAAATAATTATGCTCAATTTATAAAGTTTAACAATCATAAAACCTTGGTTTATTTTTTTATTTTTATCTTAATATTTAAATAAAAAAATTTATTTAAACATCATATGATCAGATTAAGTATTTATAAATATTATAAAAATTTTATGATAGTATTTGTTATATTTTTAAATTTATTTGTTTGGTTTTTGAAGATATTATATAATTATTTTATAGATTATTAATAATATTATAATATTCAAATTCATATATATTTATAAATATATTTGTATTAAATAAAAAATTTAAAATAATATATTAAAATAATTGATACAGATATACATCATATTTAAAAAAAAATTACTATCCCATACAATATTAATAATTTTAATATATGTTCCAATACAATACAAAACATCCTTGACCCTCTCTCAAACTTAATTTTATTTAAAGACAAAATCTAAGTTGTCATAAACTTTGATTTAAAAAAAAATTAGAGTCGGGATGGGCCGTAGCATGTTATGTCTGAAAGTTTTTATCATCTCTAAATATATTCAAATAATTTAAGATAAAAACTTAAAAAAAAAAAAAGTGAGTTATTATTACTGGGTTGATTGTATTTTTAATTTTATCTAATCGAAAGATGTCATCTTTAGAAGTCCGGATTTCACTCTGACGATAATCCGTTAATATCAGGTTTATTATTTATTAAAAAAAGAATAAACACAAGATTTAAAATATTAAAATAAATAAAATTGCAGGCTATTGTGAAACCAAATGAGACAAATCACAGCAGCCTTGAAAGTCGCGTGAATTTGCAGGCAAACAGTGTTTTGAAAGTTGAAATCCCCTCAGAATAGCCAAAACTCAAAGCAGGAGCCAACAGGGAACCAAACCAAACGAACAGAGTCTTTGTTTCTTTCAACTCTCTTCTTCTTCTTCTTCTTCTTCTTCTTTCTCTTTCACAACTATTTTATTTGTTGATTCCACACGCAATTCCTATTTGACAAACCCAAAAAACAAAAACCTTGTCTTCAAAGCCTCCTAAGTACGAAGTGATTTACTTCATTTCTAATTCCTTGTTCTTCTCCCTGCTGGGCTGCTGCCTGCTATATGCATTCAACAAAGCTTGTTTGCCGTGTAACAGGACAATTCATATAAATATCTCTCTGTTTCTGCCATCTTTCTATTATACTTACTGCTACAGCTTTCTTTTCTTTTCTCCATCTTTTTCTAGAGAAAAAAAAAAAAAGGACAGCTTCCCCAAGGCAAAGAAACTCAGACCACATGTGCTTCTCTCTCTTTTAAAAAGCTGGGGTTCTAGTTCCCAAGCTGGCCAACCATACTTGGAATGGAAACCAAGCTCCTTTCTCTCTCTCTTTGTTGTTGGGTTGAGTAGTGAAAACTACAAGGCTAAGCCCAGCAAAAAAAGCTGATCAAACAGGAGCATAGAAAGCGAGCTTATTTATTTATTTATTTTTTTAAATTGGGTTTTGAACATAAGAAATGGTGCACCATCAGCGTTATAATCAGTTGAAAAAGGGTGGAGATGACGAGGCAGGGACCCTTGTTTTTGTTTGGACAAACCCTGGTTACTACAGGAGAAGAAGGCCAAAACTTTTCTCTGTCCTTTTACTTTCTCTTATCTCTTGTAGCTTCATATTGGGTCCTCACTTCTTTAGCTCTTCTTCTGCTATATCTCATCTCTGTAAGCTCTTCTCTTTCCTGGGTTTTGCTTATTTTCTTCTGTTTCTGCGTTTTGATTTCTCTTATATGGTTTTTGCAGATTCGTTTGGTGTACGAAATGTAGGCCTTGTTGGTGATATGGATGTAAATGCTCCTCTTTGTTCTTCAATCTCTAATGGTTAGTTGTTTTATTGTTCTTTGCAGCTTCTTGGAATAATCTAACAGTAGTTTTCATATCAGGAAATGGGTTGCCTGTAAATGAATTTTTTTTAAATCTTTTGATATTATAGTTTTTGCCTTGCTTGAAACACAAGATTGAACTACAGGAGTATATGTTATTAATTGATTCATTGTTTTTAAAGGAATCATATTCTTTTTTCAATGTCCCAACTGTTTATATGAATCTAATGGTTCTTCCTGGGCTAAATACAGGTACAATTTGCTGTGACAGAAGCCATTTTCGTTCGGATATTTGTTTTATGAAGGGTGACGTAAGAACACACTCTCCCTCCTCTTCAATATTCCTTTATTCATCAAAACAAGGCAATGGTTTCTTTAATTATGTTTCAAGTATTGATGATGATGGAGAAGAAGGGGAAGATGATGAACTTCAACATGAAAAGATCAAACCTTATACCCGAAAATGGGAAAGGAGTGTGATGGACACCATTGGTGAATTGGAGCTTATCACAAAGAGAGGAAATTTGGGTGTTCACCATCTTTGTGATGTGATTCATAATGTTCCAGCAGTAGTCTTCTCAACTGGAGGCTATACCGGAAACGTTTATCATGAGTTTAATGATGGGATTATGCCTTTGTACATCACTTCGCAGCATTTTAACAAGAATGTTGTGTTTGTGATTCTTGAATATCATAACTGGTGGGTTACGAAGTATGGTGACATCCTTTCACATCTCTCGGATTATCCAACAATAGACTTTAGCGGAGACAATCGAACCCATTGCTTCACTGAGGCAATTGTTGGTCTGAGGATCCATGATGAGCTCACTGTGGACTCTTCATTGATGAAAAGCAGCAAGAGTATTGTTGATTTTCGAAATCTTCTTGACAGAGCTTACTGGCCTAGAATTAGAGATTTGATTCAGGATGAGGAACGAGAAGCACAAGAGAAGAAAGTCTCTTTACGCCCAACATCAGGGTCTGTATTAGATATTGGAAAGAGGGTGCCATATGAAGCAAAGAGACCAAAGTTGGTTATCTTATCTCGAAATGGTTCTAGAGCTATAACTAATGAGAACATTTTGGTGAAAGCAGCGGAGGAAATTGGGTTTCTGGTTCTTGTTATGAGGCCTGAACGAACAACAGAATTAGCAAAGATTTACAGGGTACTTAATTCAAGTGATGTCATGATTGGTGTACATGGTGCTGCCATGACTCATTTTCTGTTCATGATGCCTGGCTCTGTTTTTATTCAAGTTATTCCCCTTGGAACAGACTGGGCAGCTGAGACATATTATGGGGAACCTGCAAGGAAGCTTGGGTTGAAGTATATTGGCTACAAAGTCATGCTTAGAGAGAGCTCATTGTTTGATGAATATGACAAAGATGATCCTGTCCTGAGAAATCCTTCGAATTTGACCAAAAAAGGATGGCAATACACTAAGAAGATCTATCTTGAGGGTCAAACTGTGAGATTAGATCTCGTAAGATTTCGGAAGCGGCTGGTTCATGCTTATGACTATATCAACAGAATCAACCGCAATCACATCTCCACTCACAGTAATTTTCTTTATGGAACATAAATGAAATGTGATCATCACTTATTCTTTGCACTTGATTATTATTTGATTTACTTGATTGTTGTAGATTGGCTAGCACAACATCAGAATTTGTAAATGTTCCTTTGCCGAGAATTAATCTTCACATACTTGTCTGTTCCGTAGAGGTGGCAGCAAAAACCATAAAAAAATAACTTCATTTTGGTAAATGCTAATCGGACATTCATGAATTGCGACCTCTCTTTCACTCTGTAAAACTTTTGTGCTTAAATGTTATGGCAGTTCTTTCTATATGTTGACTAAAACATTTTACAGCACCATAACTACGTGTTTTCTATTTCTGCTTTATTTAATGGAATTTATTCATTGTCTCTAAATCGCTGATACTTGTAGAGATTTCATCCATTAAACAATTGATTACTCTCTTTCTTCTTCTTATTTACTTACTCTTGGCTTAATGGAAGAATAACTGTTGAGTTACGGTGCTGCCAATTGGCATCGCAAAATTATGCCTATCTGATTTCTGCAACTACTGCATGTGGTTTCTTGCGTTGCATTTCCTGTATTTGGCTCTTCTGCAATCCCGGTTTTGAAGGCACATGGTTTGCATCAGTTTGGACTGTTACCTGAAACTGAAACTATAAGTTACCCTAACATGGAGTTTTTGCCTGGAGGAGATTTATCTTTCTCTACTACTATTTCTGTCTAAAGATTTTTTTCCGCAACTTTAAATTAGGATCTTGGTCAGCCAAATTTGTTGTATAGGCTTAAGCAACTCCCATGGTGCTACTCCAACTATGGTCTCTGTCAACAGATTGTCCTTTTCCATGTCAAGATTGGCACATGAAAACTGTTTGTATCAAACAAAAGTTCCAGGAATTATGGGCGGCAAATCCAATTTCGAAAATAAAAAATTGATTACTTTAAAAAGGGATCATTTTAACTAGCCTGGTAATTACCTCCCCATATTCTTAATAGCTAAAAACAGAATAAACCATCCTTTTTGGTATTCTTCAATTCTTCCATTCCAAGTCCAAGGGTCTAAGACAAAATAGTTCTACCTGATTTTTAAACTAAAATAGATCACAGGGATGTATGTGGATAGGAGGGACTTGAATTTTGTAGACAAATGTTAATCTTAAACCTTGGGCTCACTCCAATATTTTAAATGTGATCACTGTCAATTACCATGCCCAAAGAGAAATAAAAAGGGTTGCCTGGTCAGTCGAGGAAATCAAGAAGGTTAAATATTTGATTTGAGATTAAATATTTGGATGATTATTTAATTTATAATTAATCATTTTATTTTATATAAATAAAAATTAAATGTTATCAATTTATAATAATATATGATTTTTTTCAACAGAATTTTTTCTGCAAAAAATATATACCATTAAATTTATAAAATCATTACTAATAAAAATGAGGTGAAATTAAGTTTTCAATTCTCAAAAAGCTTTTGCCTCTTTTTCTTTGCCTATTTCATTTCATTTCAATTCTCTTATTCTTTACAGAATCGTAGCAGTTGGTGTGAGGACCTTTGGCTTGCTTGGTTTTTTTCGACGACTTATTAGCAGATTAATAGATCGCTTCGGAATGGCATATACATCGATCAAGTAAAAACTCTGGGTTTCCAGCAAGCCACTGCTACATCCATTTCATTAGGAATTGATGATCTTTTAACGATACCTTCTAAGGGATGGCTAGCCCAAGATGCTGAACAACAAAGTTTGATTTAAAAAAAACATCATTTTGAGAATGTATATGCAGTCAAAAAATTACGTTAATCTATTAAAATATAATATGTTACAAGTGAATATTTACGATAGGAAATGAATCTTAATTTTAAAATGAATTATTTTCATGTCTTAATCTTTCCCGGAAAAGTGGTTCTGTGTGTGATTCTTACAAGCCCTTTTTGTCATGTGCCGACCCCACCATCGTCAGCAATAATCAAGGTATAGATCTCAGCTCCTCAAGTTCTGTTTTTTGGTGGCTCTAGTAGCCAACATAATCAGGGTTAGTACAGCAACAGGACAATAGCGAGAATTTGAGTTTTGAGGGTGGACTGAAAAGTAATTTTATAGAGAAAAGAAAATTTGATTACTCTGTTAGAGAGAAAGTAAGAACATAATTATCGTACATGCCATTCTTTGATTTAAGCTTCATTTGAATAGGCAGGGATATTAAAAAAAAAAAAATTATTATAATTATAATTTAAAAAATTACTGTATATCCTATTAAAAAAATTCAATAAAAAATATTTACTAAATAAATTTTATTAAAATTAACATTTAAATTTAATGATGCAATGAGTACAACTGTATTACATCGAAAATATGATGAAATCCAAATAAACATTTAATCACAATAAAAAAGTCTAACTCATTTTGAATTTATTCTTTTGATAATAACACGTATCTTTCACAACTAAAATTTTGTTTTAAAAATGTTTGATTTTTATTTATATAAATTAAAATATTTAACCATGAATTAAACAATCATTCAAAATTTTAATCTCAAATTAAGTATTTAGCCAATAGAAAATGTATGCAGACATTCACAAAGTATCTCAGCCTTCAGGCAAAAAATATCAGCTGAGCAATGAGAAATATGCACCGTTACAAAATTTTTACAAAAAATTTTTATTTCTTTGGATTTCTGCTTGATGAAGTAGATTGACAAGTGTCGTAACGTCTAGATCCGGGGATCTATCGCTAGACATTGACTTTTGGAGAGTTGCCACCAATCTTTTTTATCAAGGTGCGATTGGTCACCTAAAGAATCTGTCCTTTCAGGAAACACCTAAGCTTAAGGGTCCCTAAAAGAATAGGTTCAGGTCTACTAACCAGAACAGAGTTCGGGAGTTCGGTTACGTGTGAGGAAGGTTATAATACCCTCACAACGCCCATCAAAAGATGGTACCAGCTTGAATTTGTGTTATCCAAAAGCCTTAAAATTTTACCAAGTAGTTAGTTGTTGAAAATTATTCTCAATTGACTCTAATACTTTTAGCAGAAAATTGAGAAAATTCCCTCACCTCAAGAGTATGCAAGAAAAACTACTGTTTCACTTGCAGAGGCTCCGTCGTCGGATTATTTAACAGAAAAAAAACAAAATTAAAATTAAGATAGAAAGGAAGGAAAGAATGATTTTTTTTGTAGGGAAAATTGATACTTTCAACTTTTCCTCAAAAACCTTTTTTTTGAAAATTTATTTCTAAGGAAAATTGATACTTTCAACTTTTCCCCAAAAATATTTTTTTTGAAATTTTGATTTTCAAGGAAAATTGATACTTTCAACTTTTCCCCAAAAATACTTTTTTTGGAAATTTATTTTTCTTTTAAGGAAAATTGATACTTTCAACTTTTCCCTAAAAATATTTTTTTTTGAAATTTATTTCTGAGGAAAATTGATACTTTCAACTTTTCCCCAAAAATATTTTTTGAAAATTTATTTCTAAGGAAAATTGATACTTTCAACTTTTCCCTAAAAATATTTTATTTTGGAAATTCATTTTTCTTTTAAGGAAAATTGATACTTTCAACTTTTCCCTAAAAATATTTTTTTTTGGAATTTTTTATTTTTATTTAAAGAAAATAAAATAATAAAAAATAAATAAAAAGAATATTACATAAACCTAATCTAATAAATAAAAAATAAAATAAACAAAGAAAGAAAAAAAATTCAAAGAAAGAGAAAAAAAAAAAAAAAAAAAAAACCTGGAGCGGCTCGGATCGCGGCTCGGCTCAAGGAAGAGAAACGGCTCGGAGGGAGCGGCTTGGCGGCTCGGCTCGGCTCGGAGGGGGCTGGCACGCGCGGGTCAGAAAGCGGGTCGACGCCCGGGTCGGGTCGGGTTCGACAAAACGCGCGGATCCTCTGGGTTACTGAAGGCCAAAACGACGTCGTTTTGGGAGGGTATAAAAGGCACCTTCCTCCGTTTTTTGGCAGAACGGTCCTCCCCCTCTCTCTCTCTTCTCCCTTTTTCTCTCCCTTCTCTCTAGAAACTGAAGAACACCGGTGCCGGATTTTGGAAAAAGTCGCCGGAATCTGGAAATTTAGCCGGAAGTTGGCCGGAAGTTCGCCGGTTTCTGGGATTATTCGTCGGTTTCTTGGATTCTTCGTCGGAAACTGGGCACTTAGCCGGAAACTTCAAGGTTGGCCGGAGATTTGATCGGAAAATTCAAGTTTGGCAGGAAAATTCAACCGGAAATTGGAATTTCCAGAAATTCCCAGAAAAAAAAAAATCAAAAAATCTTCAAAAAATTTCTTTTAGCTCCCAGAACACTCCTAAACCCTTTTTTAGCTTCCTATACGCCTCCTTTACTCTCAAATCAGTAGCTTTGCTCACTGTTTTCTGTGTGTCTTGCATTCTGTTCCAGAGTCCCTTTTATAGGGATTGATCAGGAGTTCCTGATCAATCCCAATTCCTCCTTGGACGGGAATTCAATCTTTGAATCCCACTGGACTCTTTCTGATTGAATTCCCATTTCCAATGGGATTCTTCAACCTTCAATCTTAGCCCTCCAAAATCAAAATCAAATAAAATAAAAAACTAGATAATTAGAGAGATAAATCAGCAGATATTATAGGATAAATAATAATAAAAAACATATCAGATATATAATTATATAAGTAAAATACAAAATGAATAAAATAAAAAAGATAAAAAAAAATATATATATATACATAAATAATAAAATACACATAAATATTAACAAAAAATAAATAAATAAATGGTTGACAGGGAACTAAATTGAAAGCAATAAGCCAAATATGGTCTGACACTATAAAACGTGGACAACACTTATTTCCAACAGGAAATGCCAGTCTAATGTTTGTTGCACAAAGAAATTTTGATATCTTTGAATGGACCCAAACTTTATTAAGAAATAGATGAAAAATAGCAAAGTCAGTAAATGAAGTAGAGTTTGCCTCATCTGGCAGATAAAACTGGGGTTTGCAAAAATAATCAGCTATGAATCAGTTGGCATTCTACGATCAACCTGCCTCAACTGACATTCTATTGTTTCCTATGTACATGAACTAGAGGCTAGCTCACTCTAATACCCAATTTGCTCTGGCTATTCTTTAGGCCTTCTGAAAATGTCAACAACTCAGTGTGCTTCGAGTCAAAGCATCACTGGAGCCTTTCATTCAACAATTAGATGATTACAACCACCGCTTTGTTGTCTTTGTTGATGGGTGGACAGGAGGAGGAGTCTTGGCATTCCTGTTATTGCTCATAGTTGTACCTACATAAGAAAAGAAGGAAAGAAACATGGATAATAGACACAAAACATGTGCTGAAAGAAATCTAGTAATTAAAAATAGACAACACAAAGTCAGGCAAGAATGATGTATCACTTGGTTGCTTACTTGAGTCAATCGGCTTCCCTCCAAGAGAAGATCTTCGAGACCTGTCTGGTCCTGATGTTCGGGAACCGGTAAGTGATTGCCTACGCACTGCTCTTTCATTAGCAGTGACTGGTGACTTCAAATCATTGACATTGCCCTCCCCCCTGATGGGTGATTTGAATTCCAATGAGTTCTGTAGGTTCCTGTAATTTTGTGCAGAGATCTTCAGGTTGGAGCACATTCAAGAAGGCACTTTTGCTGATAATTTAGTAGCATCATCAAATCATGCTTGTTAAATTGAGGTTTCACACCTTGACATAACTGCCATAAAATATTAGACTCTTCTAAAAGGATGGCTTGAAAAAAGAAAAAAGTCCTAATATGCCAGCATTCCTTATTATGATCTATGTTCAGTATGTTTCCAGCTATATGAGCCACTAATCAGTTTCACCTACCTCTTCTCAGAGCCACTAATCAGTTTCCCGATGGTTGTTCGCAGGGATTTCCTTATTTGAGATCCTTTCCCATTTGCCGTTCGGGACTCGGTAGAATGTACACTTTGCATGATATTCTGAATGTCATTTCTAGCAAGTAGTTGTGGTTCAGGTGTATTTGGTAGCTGAAGTCTAGGAATTTGTGTCCGACAATCTGTCTTCAGTGCTTGCTTTAGAAAGGAAGAACTAGTAGGACTTCGAGGAGATTTAGAATGATAAATTTCCATCATAGAGCTGCCATTGCTGAGATTCCCAAACTGCTTTGTAACAGCTTCTGCATCATGGAATTGACTATATTTCTGTACGGACACTGTGCCAACATGCAAGGACTTGCTAACATCTTCAGATACTTTTAACTGACTGTTGTCCTTCTTACCATTTCTTGAACCTTCCAAGCTCAACCTCCTTGCCTGTGTTGGAACTGATGGGGTTTTTGGTCCTTTCCTGTCTTCAAGGTTCATTTGCTTCTCAGACTTCATGTTGCTACCATTCTCAATGCTCAACCTTCGAGTCTGTGGGGGAGTTTTCTCAATTGTTGCCTTTTGTTTGTCAAATGGAGATTTTGGTTCCTTCATTTTGTGGGACACTGTATTCTGTCCTTCCTTGTTTGCCATTGCCTTCTTGAGGTATTCAATCTACAAAAAATTTCTGCAATAGTTACAAAGGGTGTCTTCAAAAGAAAATAAGAAGGCTCAACTCAATAACAGCCATTTCTCATTCTTATGATTTTCACCGAACTAAAGTGTTTCATCTGTTCATAACCATTCAATCAGAACTAGTTTCAAGCAAATGAGATGTCGCTTTTTTTATGATTTGTTAAGCAATGAGATGCCTACTCATAAAAGAAAACTCGAAAGTTTTGTTGAGTTACAGGATGATTTCCAAATAGAGAAGAACCCTTGAGGAGAGTAAGATTTAAAATATTTGTATCTAACAATGTAATCAAGAAACCTGAATGATCAACCTAACATCTTAATCATTTAAATTGAATATATTTTGCACGAAGGCTATTGGAGTAGCAGACTTGTGTAACCGAAACCAAAATGTCCAGTGTTGAACTGCTTAAGTAATTGATGCAATTAATAATTTACACATCCTAGGTGAGAAAGAAATTACGAAAAGCAAAGCTTGAATGGATGTTACCTGCTCTTTGAGTTGCATAACCTCACTGCTCTCTTTGTTCAAACGAGCAGCACCAAGTTCCACTGTTGAAACTCTCTGAGCAAACTTCAAAGTACTAATTGTTTCTCCAAAAGAGTCTCCTTCCGGACTCACATGAGCAAACATCAATGTCTTAGCATGTCCACCTTGACATTTCCATGAAAAAACATATCAGTATGAAACTCTTACAATCTTTGCAGAAAACAATTAGCTTTCACTCTGGAAGGAAGCTTCTCAAGCTTGTTACATCTCCAATCACAATATGCAAGAAAGGCAATATTAAAACAACAAAAACATATGAAAATAATAAGTTGGAGATTTTGGGAAAAAGGGGTTATAATGTATATTACAACCTAATGAGTCCTGCAAAAGAAGTGTGAGTTTGCTGTTTCTGTAAGGGATGTGAGAATTCTTCTGAGCCAAAGCTGTGATGACATCTCCGAGGCAAGAAAGAGACTTATTAATATGTTGAGCCTCCTTTAGCCTATCTCCTGTAACTTCTGATTTGTCCACCCTCTCACTTCCTGCCAGGTCAACCAAATGCAAGCAACTACGAAGAGTGTTGCCAGATGCATCTTTCCCATGCACATGTACTGTTAGGATACTGCAAATTTAAATCACACAGTCAATATCCGAAAACAACTTGAACAACCTTTAATTTCTACCATTGCTTGTTCTATTAAATGGAAACCAATCTTCTTCACTATAATTTAGAAAATGTAAGTTTTTATATATATATAAAAAAATCCTCCTCAGAAAATGACCTGTGGGAGCGACTACTTCTATTGTTGATTGCAGTGGAACAGACAACACGATTCACCTCTCCAATTTTCATTAGATTTAGCACATCGCTTGTGGACTTCACTGTACGCATTGTAGCATCTGGAAGGCTTAAGCCATTGTCACTAATGCAGCTACGAATCTCTAATTTATGCACATTAAGCAAAAGCATTTACATTAATGCTCAAAAATTGCAAGAGAAGAACTGATAGCATTGAACAAGGCAAATTATCCTGTAAGAACAAAAATCAATAAGAAAGGATATTTGGTGGATGATGAATCTTCTGAAAGAAGGTCTCTGATTTGTTCATTATATATCTCTACCATCTGAACTTGAATCTCATAACTTATAATATCCTTCCTTTGATTAGAAATTTCAAAGAGATCATTGAGAGCTAGATAATTAATCCCCAAGTCCTTAGTTGATCCACCTGATGGACCACTCTGTCACCATAAAGGTAAGTCAGATGAAACATAAGTTAAAATCCATGGAAAGTATCCATAATATGTAACTACCTTTTATCTTTTACCACAAGAAAAGGTAAAAAATAAAAAACAAAATATTTTCAATTTGTAAGGCAATTGGCAACCAAATTATTGAATGCCAAGACCAGACGAAAATGGATTATTTAAACATTGTTCAAGTTGTTTTATATGAAGCAAATTAAAGGTCTTACCATTGTATACGTTTTGCCTGATCCAGTTTGGCCATATGCAAAGATGCAAACATTATAACCATCCATGACCGATCGAATCAAAGGTTGAGTGTCATTAAACACATCATCTGAAGCAAGAGTCATATGTATAAAGAATAAAAAATCCATGTACAAGACAGCATAGCGAACTAAGAGACACTGACTTAATTTTGTTATAATTTACTTTGTGTTGCACTTGGACCAAAAACACGATTAAACTGAAAGACTTTTCTTCCATCCTTTTGGGGTTTCAACGGGTCCAAAATCACAAGTGAACCATCCTCTCCAATAAAATCTATTGCATTTCTTGTTCCAGCACAGAAAGCAGGTCTAATTCTGCAGAAAACTCGAATATTTCCTGAAGGTAAACTTTATCAGAACATGATTGAGAGATTCCAAATTAAAAATTAAACTATGACATAGAGTAAACCATTATTTTATACCTTTTAAATCCTGAACCATATTATATAACTTCCTGTTCTCTTCCACCACCTTGTGATACTGAAGTGCAGCTGTGGACATCTCTTCTACTTGACTTCCTGAGCCCATGCACAAGAATGGACACATTTAACTCTATCTAGAAATTTATCAATAAAATCTTGAAACATAATGATAATGTGAATTTACAGATGGGAACCAATTCGGAGAAGAAGAATTCACACATTTATCTTATAAGGTCCATGTATAAAAAGAAAAAGGTTCCTGTCAGTTAGACAGAAATTGGGAAGTACAATTCTTGATACAATTATTTTATGCAGACAAAAGCATCAAAGTGACCTTGCTTATTGCCTTTTCGGGATTCCAAAGTATTTAGCTGAATTCTTGATGAGAAAAAGATGACTCAGTAGAATCCATAAAATCTTAGAAGAAATCTAATGAGAAAGCAGGTAAAATCATGAAATGGACCACATTCATAATCTGAAGAAGGGTTACTCAACTTTGCTAAATGATTATTGTTAACAAAACATACCTAGATCTTTCAAATCTATTTGCAGTTGTAACTGTAAGTCTTCAAACTCTCTCTTTGTAGTTGACAACAAGTCCTTGAGTACCTGAAAATAAACAAAGCTACCATTAATAGTATGAACATTTCTTGTTATCAGTTAAAGAAACTATAAGACACTTTTTTTCTCTCTTTCATATTAAATAACTCTACTTTCCAAAATTCCTGTTCACTGATCTAAAGTCATCGGCTTATTGGATGTTTGGAATTCTCTATGGAAACAAAACCAAGGGCAGCCAAACCCGTGCAAACTGATTCTGTAGCTATCTTGAACTGAAGTTCGCAAAAAACCTTCACTTTCACCTACATGATGCTCTATCGCAACTTAATCTCAAATAAATTTGAAGAGTAGTATAACTTTAATTAGTACTTTTCAGCTAAAACAGCGAAATGATTCAGTATACTTGACCATCTCCATCACTGTTAGACATCATTCTTTTTATTGAACAAGATTTTAGGATAAGGACTTTCAGAACAAAAGCAGCAGGTGCAACTTAAGGCACCTCATATATTAGAGAAATCCAAAACTGAGAATGAATCCTTGCCATTTTGGTTAACTGGGATATCCAACTAGTGGTAGAATGTAACATTTTCCATAATGTTACATTGCAACTAGTAAAATATAGGCGAAGCAAATACATACTGAGAGTTCTTTTTCCTGCATTTGTAATAAATTCCTGTTGTTCCAATTAGCCCTTTTCATGGGAGCTCTTGATCCCTGTAAAAAAGATGATGTAGGACTCATCATATTTTGCAACAATAAACATAGTTATTACTGCCAAAGTTGCACATAAACAAATCTGCGAACAGCAAAATTATATAGACTGACACCAAACAGGTGAAGGAGAGCTAAATATCTACATCGTCACTTACACATAATGATACTCGAGCAAAACTACCAACAAACTTTTAATGAATATTTTCATGTACATATGAATTCTTTCATTTTACAAAGTTGGAATAAAAAGCTATTTACCTTGAAAAATTACTATTACTATAGTTATAAACAAGTAAAACTATTTGCTGTCATATACTATAGTTATAAACAAGTAAAACTATTTGCTGTCATATCTAAATAAAGGGTTTATAAAATTACCATTTACCTGGAAAAGTTAGCATTTTTTCTGCTTAAATAGATAGCTAAGTTGAGGGTAACGTTAGTAAAAAAATTATTTACTCAAACAAAGTCAAAATGCTTTTTTTTTTTCCAGCAGATGATTACTAAAAATTTGTAAGTCTGGTAAATTCAAAAGACTAAGTAGATGGTGAGGATAAAAATATTATACCTTATATTGTCCAAATGATGATACATCCTCCAGAGGATTAGGAGTAGAGTGAACAGTTGAGCCATTTCTTTCTTTTAGAAAATCTTTAAACACTGATTTCAGCTGTTTTGGAATGCAAAGGACATGACTATATTTAGTTAAAGATCATTTTATTAAAAACATAAGAATGAGCAGAAAAAATAGAGAAAAGTTTGTTCAAAAGCTAATACGTAAATCTTGATCTGCTCAAGTACACAATGAGTCCATATAACCGTGAGTTGGAGTTGGGATATCTAGGTAGTAGAATATATAATTTAAGGCAGGGTGATAAAAAGATCGGGCCAAAGCTTAGTGCTATATAGGATGCTCACTTTTAGTTGATTGCAAAATGATATGTGACCTACACTATTGATTCATTCAACTAAATTGGTTTTCCTTAAGCAAGTTATTAACATATGTGTGAGAGCTACTTTTTGAACTTTGCTACTAAAGAAAAAGGATGAAATTAAAGACAGGGAATCAGCTGGTACTGACTACTGAGTAAACAAGTTTCAAAGTATCCACCTTCTAACGTTGCTCAGCTGCTTACTCTGACAGACAATTTTAGAATTTCCTCCAGATAAAGCATTCTTAAGGAGGAAATATCTTTTAGGAATATAGATTATATGGAATTTGCAAGAGAAGATGATAATTTTTTCTTGGCTGCAGTGAACTCTCACCTCAGGGAACTTTTTCTGATGTTGTTCCTCCAAACAACTTGAAATCATCTTGCTCAATAATTTGACTGAATCCTGTTAGCAGAAGAGAATAAGTACAGAAGAAACATAAATATCTACCAAAGTTTAGTTCTTTATACATACATTTGGTTAAGAACAAGGTTAATATACAAAAACAATTAATATTACCGAATTTTTCTTATGGAAAGAACCCAAAAGGCTGTCATCAATGTTTTCCTTTGTGTCAACCATGTAGTCAGCAAGTACCTTCACAATTGTATCTACAAACACCATGCATCACATAGAGTGAGGATAAAAAGTAAAATGCCAAACAAAAGTTTGAAGATCATTAGGAACAATATAGTTAATTAATGGGGAATTTGATTAACATTCTCCAAAGAACAAAATTGTCTCTGAAGAATGCATATGTTCAAGTAAAAAGAAACAAAGTACTAAGCAGCTAGTAGTTAAATAAGCCTCCCTTTAATTATGTGCATATAGAATATAGACCAATAACCATTGCACAGTGGTTTCCTAAAGGGACCATACCAATATGCAATATTTGACTTCATTAATTGCCAACAGCTTCAAAAGTAATCTTGCTGTAGAAGGCTTGAAAGCTTTTAATGGTAATTCAAATCCAAATGAAACCAGAATGCATTTTTAACCAACTTAAATTGTCTAATGCATATTTCATGTTTAGTTGCTAATTTGCAAATAAAAAAACCTCTGCTACTATTCATATATTAGATAAAAATGGGGAAAGAAATACATTAAAATAAGACCTTCAAGTTTATGGATTTCGCCATTGGCAGGTGGTTGTTTATCACAAGCAGCAGACATGTCCAAGCGCCTACAAGATTCTGATGAGGCTCCTGGGCGAATCTTAGTGGCAGAATGCATAACCATGGGGGACCTAGTAAGCTTATAGTATCCATTTCCATTCCCACAATTAATCTGCTTACATTCATGATATGACTTAAGAGTTAATATGCAATCAACAACCTTTGCTGCAGACCCTGCTTCCAAGTTATCCTTCAAAAATTACAAGCCAAGAATTAACTTAGTTTAAGATGACTTTCACATAAAGCTGCAACAAGAAATTACTAATATTGTTCAATTTAGTATTGGGAATTTACTCTTTCGAGATCACAAGCTTCAAAGGCTGGCAGTTTTAGCTCTTCAATGGCAACAAGAAAATTCCTGACATTTTCAAAGTATTGATAGGCTGGTGGTGGCTGGAACTCCCGAGTGAGTGATTGTGCATGTGAATTACTCTTCACAACCTTAAAATTTATATGAAAAAAAAGTGTAAATTTTATAAGATAGGAGTGAGGCTTAACCATACGTGAAACCAAGATAGCAAATGTGATGGTACCTTGGGGACTGCACCAGGGTGGATCTTGTTGATGACGTTGCAAAGAATCAAACCATTTCTCAAGCAAGAAATGAACTCTTTCTCTGATGGTTGGCTTGATATCCCCAGTGGACCAACTAAGGTTTCTAACCAAGCAACAGCCACATATCTTCTTAAAGCTACAAAAACCAATGAACAAAATGGTAATGTTGAACAAATTCTTCGATATAAAAAAGAAAGAAGAAAGAACTAAAGCCGTAAGCAGTTGCATACATTTTATTTTTTTTAAAAGGAAACTTTATTTGCAATGAAAAAGAAAAATAGAAAATTTACTTTCTTGTTTCTTTTCCTTCCCTTTGCTAACATAAAAAGAAAACAAGAAAGAAAACCAACCTGCTTCTTCAGCTTTTCTTGAAGCCAAATTGAGGTCATGGAATCCATTTCTTGTAACACACTCCATTCAAACCCCTCTACCTTCTTCTTCCTTTCAAATATCAAATAAACTTATCAGAACAAAGTAAAAAGAAAAAGAAAAAGAAAAAATCCAACCTTTAAATCATATCATGACAATGCAATAAATACCCATCATCCCATTCATCTCCCAATACATTAAAAACTAAAACTTGGACCAAAAAACTTGAGAAAAGGAACATACTTTGGTAATCTTTTATGGGTATCTTTCTTTAAGAAAAATAATGAAGGAAAAAAAAAAAAAAACCAAAGAAAACCCAGAAAGGAAGGGGATTTCGGGAGAGAAAATATTGTACTCGACAGTCAAAGTACGACCAAAATCAAAGGCTGTTTAATTCTTTTTTGTGGGCTATCTCTCTCTCTCTCGGTATTTGGCTTTGCGTTGATATTGCAATCTTCAGTTTTGTTTTTTTTGGTTCTTCCTTCCAATGTCCTTTGATTCGGTGTTTGGCTCGGATCCGAAGCTGAGGTCTTCAAAATCGTAACGTTAACTTTATGTTTATGAGCAGAATTTGAATTCAAATGGGTAGGTCCACGCGGGGGATAATCCTATCCGTTTGTTCCGCCACGTGCGAGATCTGAATCGACGGATAGGATTTATCGTGTAATGGAAAGTGTTTAGGGCTTTAAAATGGGGCTTTTGGTATTGTGTTCTTTTTTGTTTTGGCGATTTTTGTCTTTTAGAATGTAGCGACAATTTCGATAGGGCGTGGAGGACACTTCGCTAATGAATTAATGTTCGTATATGACACGAACCGTATGTACGCGTGAGGTAAGTATGGTGTTAACATGCATATGAAGTACAACAATTTAGGGATACTCATATATTCTAGTTATTATTAACATTTAATGGGCAAAACAACTTTTGAGATTCTTTATGGCCATCGTTTGATTTATTTCCGTGTTTGTCAGTGTTATTCATCTTTTTAAAGATTTTTTTGTAAAAACAAATCTCCTTTGATTCTTCACTTTCTTTCTTTCTTTGTTCTTCTCTTTTTCTTTGTTTTTCACATATTTTCTTTTTTGGATAAAGAACTCTTGCTCCATATCCAAGTTCTGCTTCAGATTTAAATTTTCTTTTTTCATGGGTATTATCCATGGTGTAATTTTTTTTTCATAACATGATCCAAACAATAAAAAATGATTTTTTCAATGTCATCCAACATTAAAAAATATTTTTTTTCTTTGAAACACGTATTCCACAAAAATATCTTTTAAGGAAAGTTTGGTTTATAAAATTTTAGACTAAAAAAAATATGATTTTTAAAAAAGTGTGATATTTGATTTTTTTTTTTTTTCAAGATATCTTATATTCAGATTTATTCATTTAATTGAAAGAATCTACATATATTAATTCTTGAATAATTATTATAATCTTCATAACATATATGATGATAACTTTTTATTAGCTTTTATGGATAATAAATACCTAAACGACAAATGATGTTTTTAGCGATAAAAAAAAACATATTATATTTGATTGTTATTTTTATTTATAAAATATCATTAATAAAAAAATAAAAAGGATTATTTAAAACTTTTTTTAATATTATTTTTAGTCAAAAAAATATCTTAAATAATCTCTAATATATATATATATTAAATAATCATATTTAAAATATATTAGGAGATTAATTTCTAGTTATTAAACGAAGCCATAAAAAAAATCCTCTATTTTTTTGTCAATTTGGTATATAAAAAAATAAAATTATCAGTTTGATATTTCACCTTTTATTTTGTTATCACATTGATACTTCAGACTAACGCTGTTAGTTTAAAATACTAGTGTAGCATAAATATCTAATAAGATACTGACATGAATCAAAAAGTTCAATTAGCACCACATCATCAATAATATCTTAATATAAAAAGAAAATTAAAAAATTTTCTAAAAATTCTAAAAAAATCTAAAAATTTTAGAAAAAAATTCTAAAGTAATTCTAAAACTTTATAAAAAAATTAAAAAAATTTTCTAAAACTTTTTAAAAACTCTAAAAAATTTTGAAACTTAAAACAATTCTAAAAATTTTTTTAAAAAAATTCTTAAAAACTCTCCAAAATAAAAAAATCAAATTTTAATAAAAATTAAAATTAAAAAAAGAATATTTTTAAAAAATAAAAATATAAAAAACACAAAATTTTAATAAAAAAATCCCAAAAATTCCAAAAAAATTCCAAAAATTTAGAAAAATGAAAATTTTAACAAAAATACAATTTCATAACTTTATAAAAAATCTTAAAACTTAAAAAAATTTAAAATAAAAAATCTAAACTTTTTTTGTAAAAATTTAAAATTTTTTTAAAAAAATTCTAAAAATTTTCACTTTTTAATCTTATAATTTTAATTCTTTACATATTTTTTGAATTTTTCAAAAACAATTATTTGAATTATTTGGATTTCTATTATATTTTAAAGTTTCTAATTTTTATTTTTTAAAATTTTTTTAGAATGTTTCAAAATTTTGAAATTATTTAAAAATTTTTGGAAATTTTTGGAAATTTTAAAAACTTTTATATTTAATTTAAATTTTCTAAAATTTTCAAAAAAATTAAAAATTAAAAATTTTTAGTTTTTTTTTTTTAAGTTTTTAGAATTTCAGAAAAGCTTGTAGAAAATTTTAAAAAATTTTTATAAAGTTTGAAATTTTTAGAATTTTTTATAAATTTTAGAATTTTTTGATATTTTAAGAATTTTTTAAATAGTTTTTTTATAATTTATAAGAATTTTATAAATTTTTAAAAAAATTTCAAAACTTTTTAGAATTTTTTTATTTTTTAAAAAAAATTTAGAATTTTTATGAGTTTTAAAAATTTTTAAGTTTTTTATAATTTTAAAAAATTCTTAAATTTTTTTGAATTTTAATAAAATGAAAAAAATTATAATTTTCGAAGAAGTTTTAGAATTTTTTAGATTTTTAAAAAAATTTTAAAATTTTTTTTAAAATTGAAAATCTTTTATGCTGACATGGCATTGATAATATGGCATCTTATTGATGTTTATGTCACATTAACATTTCGTAGTAATGTCATTAGTCTAAGATACTAACATAATAACATAATAAAAGTTTAAATATCTGTTAGCCTTGAATTGATCTTTATTTTGAAATTACAAAACATTAAAGATAAATAAACTTGATCAAAATTTTAAAAAAGATTTATTTAGTACATGTTCTTAAGTTTTATATTTTGATACTAAATAAATAATATGATTTTCAAAGTTTAAACAAACCTTTTTTGGTTTCATATTTCTTAAACCAAATCTATCTTTAAGAATTATTTATTTGAGCTTAAATGAAAAGTCAAATTATTGTTTTTAAAGTGAATTTATTTATTTTGAACTTAATAAATTTTGATAAAATTGATTTTGAAAAAAGATTAACTTAAAAAAGCTGTTTTAAGAACAAAGTTTTTCAACATTGAAATTATTTTGTTTTTCTGTATTAATTAAAAAATTTTTAATATTTGAATGTTATATGGTTGGAAAGCTCTTTGAGTATACTTTCTAATGGATCAAACAAAATCAAAATTCAAATTTTTTAAAAAAAGATTTTGAATTTTTACTAGACACTCTATAGTTATAAAAAAAACTGCATAAGGGGTAATTTTAAAATTCACTATAATTCATACTTAGTGAATTAGGTGATGAACTTTATATGGATATAAAGCCATTTAAGTCTAGTTTCTAAATCTTCAAACATTTTGTGATTTGGATTTGTATAACTCAAGTTATGATGAAATTAGTAAGTAGAGTGCAAAATGAAAAACTACCTCATAGCGTGGACAAGATCGATCCCTTCTAGAAGGGATCGATTGCTTTTTCATACAGAATGCTCATAGGACTGAAAATTTAGAAAAGGGATCGATCTCCCCATATAGGAGATCAATCACCCTCTTAACCAATCGATCCCCTACAAAAAAGGATCGATCAGTTAGGCTATTTTCAAGTGAAAAATGGTTCCAAACATGAACCAATTGATCCCCTCAAGCAAGGAATCGATCGGTTCTGGGCACAAGCACACCAACGGCTACTTTTTCATGATTCCAATGGGCATTTCTTCACTCCAAGCTTCCCCAACAGCTACTTCTTCAATTTCTTTATAAATTGGACACTATAACACACCAAGAGGATTAATGAATCAAGAGAGTAAGAGCTAATAAGCCATATTTTCATTCTTTCAAAGAATCAAGAGTTTTTAGAGCTTCAAAGTCCATATCTTTGTATTTATTGTATCCAAATTATATTTATTGTTCATTAATCATTTTATTATACTTAAACTTAGTAAACACTTAATCTTAGAGAGGTTGTTCTATTGCTTGTAAAATTATCTTTGATACACAAGGGTGAAAGAGAACAAGAGGTAAGGTATATCCTTTTGATATTATAAGGGTAGAGGTTGCTATCTAAGCCTTGAAAAAAAGATAAAGATTTAGTACAAGATAGGTTTATATCTTGTGAGAATTTTTTTTCAATTAGTGGATTGAAGCCTTGGTATGGACAGCCAAGAGAGAGGACGTATGTGTCTTGTGGAGAAGGATCGAACCTCTATAAATCATTGTATTTGATTTCTCTATCCCTATCTCCTTACAATTTATTATTGCTTATATTTGATTTTAGATTCATTAATTGTTATTGTTAGCATTATATTTTCATTAAAAGTGCTTATTGTTTTAATTTTCATTCAATTATATTGAAATAATTTGTTTGGGAAGAATTTGAAGAAATCCAATTCACCTCCTTTTTTTGATCACCATCTTATCTATGAAGCTAACAATATCAAACTAATAATTTTACTTTTCTAAGTAACAAATTAACTGAAAATGTATAGTTTATGGATCAATTTTATATTTAACCCATTAAAATATTATATATATATATATATCTTTTTTAAGGTATATTGAAAAAATAAAATTAATATAATAAAAAAGTACACATGTCAATATTTTATTTTATTAGTGAAATTTAAAAACTCCATCGATAATTTATAAAGATCGAATTCAAATTATAAAATTTGTTATAATCTTATTTAGCATAATAATTTATTAATTATTTTAAATATATCCTAATAGCATATGTGACAATTCTTTAATTCAATGAATTTTAAAAACTTTACCAACAATATATGAGATAATTTTTTAAAATTAATTTGATTAATTTTTTCAATTATTTAGTTAATAAAAATTATCTTAAATATTATAAAATATTAAATAGGAGTATAACTTATGTAAAAAATTGTCTCTTCCAATTTAAAAATCTTTTCAATATTGCTCACTCGACAGGGTATTATCATTTATTACTTTGACATTTAATATATACCTTGCTTCAAACTACCTTGTATTATCATTTATTATTTTGTAAATAGAGATGTTAGTGAATCAGGCTTAAACATGGCATCACATCTTACAAATTTGTTTAATAAATCTAACTCAACCAAAATTTGAACCTCACTATAAAAAAAAAAAAATTGGAACCTTAAATTTTGTATAGGACTATCCATTTAATAAATAATACGGTTCATGTCGTTTAGAATTTGTTTTTCTAAAACAATAAATTCATGGTGTGTTTTATTTAATCTTAATATTTT